GAAATTTTCGATCATCGTGACATACATTGTGATAAGACAATGTAAATGAGTAAAGCATACCCTATGGATGAGCAATCAAAACAATCCGTCCGTAAGATTGTCATACTATGACTCTCGGCACATGTGCGGGCCTTTTGTGCATTGAACGTAGGGTTTCGAAAATGGAGACATGTTTGATAGCACTCGGTTACCAGTACTGGGACGGTAATGTGTAACTGCTTGGCAGTGACTAAGAAGGCTAGATTGACACAACAGTTGTGTCATGCAGCTACAATCCTGTAGTTGTTCAGTAGCATGGATACCGACGAATAGAGCTAAGATTGGCACACATTATTATTTTGTTAACATTGTCGTTTTTGTCGGGAAGTCTCAGTTCTGAATGGTGACCGATGCCTTGCATTCTAGGACTGACAACCTCTTAAAGTTAGTCCACACATCCGCTGGTGTGTTCAGGTCTCTTCGAAGCAAGCTTGTTTGCTTGCTGCTCCTGACAGACCGTATCGATCTCTTGTCCCCCATTTCCTCAAACTCGTTAGCTTTGAGCAGTTTGCAGTAGAATTAGCCTCCATAGGCTAATTCACCGATTGTAGTTACCCCTCTAAGTAATAAAGTGATGGACATCTACCAAACCGGCACGCTGTCTTTCTGATATCCAGATGGGACTAGACAATTCTAGGCTTATCGATCGAAAATCTACTTCATGTTGTGAATCTGCTGATAACTAATCGACCCTGCCGTACATGGTGCTATCATTCACCTAGATGTCCTACACAGAGAAACGGTTATCCATCTTTAGTAGACTATGGTTTGAGCTCTTTTTTTTCAATTAGCACGACCTTTTACAGTTGGAGTTTTGGTTCTCTGGTCACATTTTTTAGAAAGTGTTTATTTTAACTTTCTGCATGGAATGAGGCGGTCTCCGAGAAGCCATGTCAGATTGGATGATGCTCAACAAAAACGTGAAAAGAAAGTTTCGTTCCGTTAACATTAAATTTTTAAGCAATAACTTGGAATTATTCCGATTGATCATTGGAGACAACTCAATGCATTTACTCTGTTCGAAGTAATGTAATTGTAGAACAGTAAGGGAGTCGTTTGGTGTCTGTGGGTGTGACCATGACCTAGGGGAAGAGGCTTTTAGCTCCATTTTTCCCGCACATGTAGCTTGAAGAGTTCTGACAACTTCTCGGGGCCTCTGAAAAACGGTATTCTCCTTACCCATATCCATCTTACTTCGTATTCCATTACGTGGTTCACAGCCTAGTTGCTACTTGTTAAAATCTTGCCGCATAGCTCATCCACCACTTGTAATCGCCACACTGATTGATGCAAACGAGCAACATATCACGTGCAAAGGTGTAATAACACACACTGTTGCTGATTCATTGTTCTGAGGTCGATTCTACCGATCAATAAAGCATGGCGTCGCATATCTCATTAGTGACGTACGTGAACGTGCGCTAGTTCACTAAATACACTCCTTAACACACCAGCTTGGTTTTGACGGGAGTCTCAACTTAATCCCAGCCATCTCTCTCGTTTGTTAAGCTTTTTAACTAAATATGCTGTATAAGAGCCATCTTATTTTTCAGCTGTCACGGGATATCGCAGCATATTTCCACTAAGGAAATCACTCATAAGGTTGTTGAAAACGCTTCGACAGCGCATGACCGGCTTCGCCCTTCTTTGAGCCCATCATATAGGCGCAGTTCTCGAGTTTCTGTCAACCTTTTATTCTGCTTGAGCCAGAATTAAACGAGATTCACGAAATACACTTGCTTGCACACCAGTTTGGTTTTAACGGATGATTTTGAAGAGGGGCGAAACCGTCGTCGGCTTTTGAAGAATCTTCAGTAACCTCTAGCCACTTTAATCTGCCTGTCAGAGGTTGAAACTATTACTTCCAGCAATAGCAGTACAAATAACCAAAGATTAACACGTATCCTCGGGGAAATACGCGTAGGAGAATTTTTGTGATAAACTAAACTTGCTGGTGTCTAATAGTGCAAGTCAGCCTGACAAACAACAACTGGTTCCGTTTAATCCGACAACTAGGTCGTGTTACATTCACCCTGAAGTTCCGTGAGTTGACACTACCGTCCGGGTTTCACGAAATGAGGGGAGAGTGATCCAAGTATTAGCTCCAAAAGTTTAAACGATGTGATGACTGGCCAATTCTCTGCTTATTACTAAAACAACCGGTCCGATTTCCCGACGTACGGCTCGGTAATTATGGGGTCTTCCCTGAAGATCGATGATTAGTTAGGATAAACAATGGGACCAAGTCAACGGCTGGTTAAACCAAGAAACTCACCTTCGGGAAAGCAGCCTCACTAGATGCACGCTAAAAGTTGTCTGATGCGTGGTTATGAGGCCTCGGCTTAAGAGCTCTTTGATTCTGTGAAGCCATAGCTGTAGTGTTGAACACCACGTTTTATCGATTTTGTGTGGTCCAGGACTATAGTGAGTTATCTCGGGCATACGTCCAGACGTCAGGACCGAGCGGTACCAGCTCGAAGATAACTTGCTTCAGTCAGTTTTGAGTTCGTCCCCGACTTGGTTTATTACGACGATTGGGTATCGGTCAGATGGCTGTTGGATTGTTCATCGGGCTCGAAAGCTGGCACGAAAACGTTTTCGTTCAACCAATTAGCACATTCAAGCCGCTAATATTTCGACATACTGAAACGATATTGCACGGTAACTCCTCTCAAACTTAACTCCAAAAAAGTTAAGCGAAGTCAGAACCGTTCGAGAGATGACCCTGCGTTAGACGTGCGTAAAGACCATAAAGTCGAATTAGAAAAGGAGTAGTTACAACGGGAATAACCGCACAAAAATACCACTGTGTATGGTCGGTGGCATTCAGTCTCGGTTTATGCTTCTGACCTGCAATCTTATGGACACGGTAGGCTCCTACTGGCCCAGTATTTCAGACAAAATACAAACAGGTTACAAAGGAAATTCCCACTTATAATACATACGCTCATCTTACCAGTTGATTTCCTAAAATAGATAAAATCGTCCAATTTTTTTACATTCATACATAATCATACAAATGTGAGAATTTTTCTATTAAGAAATGACTGACGTGGTGTGAATACTTGGTAGTCAAGTTCGAATCGTGTTCTAGGCGCGTCTTTATGCACAATGTTTATTGCAACGGAAACAACTAGCTACAAACTAGAGCACAGATTTCACACAATAGTCAGAATTGTGCTTCAACTGACCTAGATTTACGTGAACCTCTTGTGATACGGAATCACGCTGAGCTTTCAACAGAAGGAGTTTGACGCATACAGGAATGTTGTTTATCGGGCAACACACGCTTGCAGGTTTGTGGCTTCATCCTTGTATTTCTACACGCTTCAGTTATTTTGAAGACGTTTGCGTGCATTGTGACGACTTGCTGCGCCTTTGGATTTCTATGTGAAAAGTGATGCTGTAATACCGAGAATTACTGTGTTAAATTGGTGTGGATCGTCATTTGAGTTCATCACCCGAAGAACCAGTCAGTACAAGTGTGTTCAAAGCGTTTACATGCTACTGATACTGATAAGAAAATAATCATTCAGCTGTGACACCCAGCTGCCATGCCACGCAAAGGAAGCACGAGGGCTGGGATACTACCAGGTTGTCCAAGCCTAGACAACAGAAGTCGAGAAGCAAAGATCGGGTTCGAACCATGGACCTTGCAGTCAATAAATACGCCCTCTAACCAATGATCCATCTCGTCCTTGAAACTGAGTCGGGCTGTATGTTGACAGACAATCTCTGCTGTCACCCGGGAAATCGCCACCGCCAAAGTCTTAGATGATTCGCCACTTAAAGTCTCCGAGATATTCCTGTGACTTCATAGCTACCTAGAATTCACTCTGTATGCATTGTGCAACTTTAAGTTCCACTAATTGGCTTTAATTTAATTCTTGCCTCGCATATATATTTCAGCTAATAATCCACTCTGGACGTTCGAAAGTCCCAAGGTCACAACGGTGCTAGGGTTGACTCTCAGTGACTATCGTTGTACAGATCAGGCGGAATAGCTAGCCGTATCCGCATGGTGTGGACCACCAGACGAAATCTGCATTCACCGGGGAATCGCAACTGTTAAACTGTCCTCACTTCACCGTTACGGGTCATGATGATTTCAGAACTGCCGGCCACCTGTTCACTCTCCGACCTCATTCGCTCTGGCTTATCCCGGGTACAGGATGTTCCGGTGGTTGTACATTCTGATCAACGCAAACGACAGGAGATATTACGTACTGTGGCAGAAGCCTATCGGCGTAGATCTATCGTCAAAGGAGAGCTGCCATTAGGGAGGCCTCTTCGGTGGGAGGTCGCTCATCTGGACATTGTGATAGCCTCTCCTGAGAGTAGCGTCCCTTTGGGGCGAAAGAAAATACTGGTATGGGTACTGAAATGACCTCCATTCAGAGTGGTCTTCATAGAGAATAGCGTATCCAAATTCCATCCAGAAGTTTACCTTGTAAGCTGAAAAATTCCACAGTGAAACCAAATTCAGCATTTTGGTTTTCCAATACTTGGTAGGTCCACTGTGATACGCTGCCAAAGCGATGGCGATGTTGGGTTGCTATGTTATTCCACACAACCGATTAGGGTTGGAGCGGACGCCGGGCTGTAAAAAAAAACAACTGGATGGATGAAATCAGAACACCGCTGTATTGACTGTGTAGCATTCAGGCAAGCGTGTGGTCAGATTAATAGTTTCTGACTCAAGGACTGATATGGAAGCTAATTGATCATTGGTCTTCTGGGAATAACAATGTGAAGGAAGGGGTACGTAGTCAAATAGGTTTTTGGTAAAATATACCCGTTGCGATGCCACTGCTTAGTCAAATGA